CAGATGACTTCATTCACTGAGGTACAACAAGACTTTGGGAAATTATAGTAATTCAGGGGAGAAGGATAGCAATTTCTTGCAATGCATGCCTATAGTAAATTAAAATATAGAGAAAATCATCTGGAGTGAACAAAAGAAAAAAAAATCTGTATACAATTAATCAGATCATAACGGTTCTGAACGTAGAGACATTTGCCACCAACCTGACAGCCTGAGCTCCATCCTCATGACCCACATGGTAAAAAAAAAAAAAAACAAACTGATTTTCACAAGCTTTTCTCACACTCTCACACACAAACACACACACACACACACACACACACACACACACCCCACCCCACATTTTTAAAACTCAAGACATACAGTCAATTCTTTCAGGAAGGTTGTCACAATAACAACATGACTGTAGCAGTATGGAGTGTCAGTTTCATTCCCACCTCATAAGTAATGGATAGATAGACAGAAATCATTAGAACCCATTGTCCATGTGTTTGAACTGCTTAACAACTTAGGACATACAGATGTGTAACTACTCTACATCTAAAAGAGTCTAACAAGCAATCTTTATTTTAAAACAAAAAGATTTACCACACAAGTCATATATACTACAAGTTTTATCTATCTGTTTATTGCCTTGTTAATGAGGTTTTTTGTTTGTTTTCAATGCTTAGTCACCAGGGACTGGAACTCTGGTAGAAGGTTTGACCTTGTTAGAGAAAGTGCCACTGGAGGCAGGCTCTCTCCCCTCCCCTATCTACTTATCTCTCTCCCTCTCTCCCTACCCCCACCTACCTGCCTGCTGCCATGCCCTCTGCCATGATGGTAATGGACTTACCCTCTGCAACTGTGAGCAGGGCCAAATTAAATGCTTTCTTTGTAAGAGCTACTGTGGTAATGGCAACTCATCACAGCAATACAACACTGACTAAGACAGGATCCTCCTAGCTCATCTGTATATTTCCTTTTTCCTGTGTGTATGAAAGGAAACTGATTTCTAGTCTAGTTTCTGCAGTTTATTCTGTATTTCAGAACAGCTGGCATACACAATGGTATGATTTATTGGAAACACTGGGTAATCAATTCTATAAAAGCTGATAAAAGGCTGAGGTTTCAGAATAACATGTCTGAAGCGCCCTTCAATTGATTTCAGCATCACAGGCACAGTCATGCCTAAGTATCTGGAGAACTGGTACTGTAACACCTGGCTGGCTATCAAAAGCTGCAGACTACAGTGTACAGTGTACAGTGTAGTATCTGCATGTATGCTACCCACATTCTCCCCTATACTTTAAACCATCACTCTGTCACTCACATTACACCACAAACACTCCATATTTAGATAACAGTAGCAACAAAGAAAAGAACACAAACATGTCCATTCATTCAAATCTAACTTATTTTTCCCAAATATTTTCAATTACTGCTGCCCAAATGCCTGGATGTCCAAGATCTGCAGGCAGTGTGATAGCTAGGAATGCTTCCCATATTTGGAACAATGCAAAAGTAAGCTTTCAAATTCACTTAATAAAGTTATTTTGGACATTATAAAACAAAGTAAAAAAATGTAATAATTTAAAACTTCTAAAATAAAAAGTAAAGCTCTTACTAAGTGTACAGCGTGATCAATTTCTTCAGTAGTTACACCTGCTTTAATCATCCCAGCAGCAATATCCAAGACTTCTCTAGCAAGCTGAAAAATAAGTACAATTAAGAAGAAATAAAACAGAACCTATACTCTGCACTCTTTGATTTTATGCTATCCCCGGTCTACAAGAGTTAGTTCCAGGACAGGCTCCAAAGCCACAGAGAAACCCTGTCTCAGAAAACAAACAAACAAAAAAAACCACACAAATATTTGGTAACATTTTATATGAAACATTTAAATGTCAGAAACATAATATAAAAGTTATGAAAAAATAAATTGATATATAAGTTGAGATAAACAGATTTACTAATAACTTTTTTTTTTCAAGGGGGGGTTGTCCTCTGTGTAGCTCTGGCTGTCCTGAAACTCACTTTATGGACCAGGCTGGCCTTGAGTTCACAGAGATCCTCTGCCTTTGCCTCTGAGTGCTCGGATTAAAGGCATTCACCACCACCATCTGGCTCTAATGAAAATGTATATCCTAAGTTAGATAAACAATCAACTGATAATCTTACATTTCTAAAATGGGGGACTATGAAGAGAAACAAAAGATTAAAGAACTTAAAAAAAAAAAAATCACCCCCAGGGAGAGGTGGTGCACACCCATAATCCCAGCACTCGGGAGGCAAAGGCAGACAGATTTCTGTGAGTTTGAGACCAGCCTGGTCTACAAAGCGAGTTCCAGGATAGGCTCCAAAGCTACAGAGAAACGCTGTCTTGAAGAAAAAAAAAAAAAAAAAATTACAGTAAGTGGAACAAATATAAAATTCTCCAAATAAAAAAATAGCATCAAATCACTTTTTAAATGTTGCACAAAAGCCTTAACATCTACGGGAACAAAGCCAATTGCTTTTCTTTAGTAAAATCTTAGTATGTGACTTCATCTAATGCCACCCATACTCCATATCTCATAAGACTTGAACTTTGTCCTGTGCTATAACATTTTGTAAACACAGAATGACAAAGTACCATAAAAATTTCACTCTTTAAAAATAATGCTTCAATGGGCTGGAGAGATGGCTCAGAGGTTAAGAGCACCGACTGCTCTTCCAGAGGTCCTGAGTTCAATTCCCAGCATCTACATGGTGGCTCACAACCATCTGTAATGAGATCTGGTGCCCTCTTCTGGCCTGCAGGCTGACATGCAGGCAGAACACTGTATACATAATAAACCTTTAAAAAAATAAATAATAATAATGCAAAAAAAAAACAAAAAACAAAAAACAAAAGCTAGGTGTGGTGGTCAAGTCTTAAATCCCAGCACTCAGTAGGCAGAGGCAGGTGGTCTACATATTGAATTCCAGGACAGCCAGGGATACAGAGACCCTGTCTCAAAAAAAAAGAAAAGAAAAGAAAAAAGAATAATGCTGCAAGCTCAAGCAAAGTCATGTTCATCTTTAAGTCTCCGAAATTCAGTAAATATGTTTATGCAAATAAACAAACAATACAAAGCTGATCACAGAAAATGGCAACTACAGATGACTCTTAGTTTTATTCTAAAAGAGATTATATAAATATAAAAAAGTGTTTTGAAAGTAGGTTAAGGGATGGCTGTTAAGAGTTCACACTGTAACATTCTTACAGCTTTAGACCACCAATCACAGGTGTCCTGTCTGTACTCCTAGTAGAGTTCTACCCACAAGGAGACAACAACTTACCCTACACACAAGTCGCATCCCTTCTATATCTTCAGTTGAGAGTAGTTTAATTTGGGAAGTACCTTTAAGAGCCTGTTCCGATTCAGACATTCCTGGAATGGAAAGTGAGTGAGTAAAACCCCAACAAACAGAAAGACAGAGCTCAGCACAGCTGATTCTCCTTAAGTACCATACAACACCACTTCACATCAAGAGGGGCCAAGCTAGTTTATTGTTTTAGTATTTCCAACACAAAAGTGGCAATAAAGGAAACTTTAAAGAAAACCAGTAAACATTAGCCAGGCAGTGTACTCAGATTCACTAAACTACGGGCTTTGACAAGTGCAGCATAACTTTTAAACAGCTTTGACGGCCATGTCATGATGCACCTACACACCAGCAACTAACCATCAACTGCCTTACTGTTCTAAACCAGAACCTAAGTCATTGTTACTCAAACTACAGCTTATGACCTTTTCTTGGGTTGAATCTTTTTTTGTTTTGTTTTTGTTTGGTTGGGTTTCGTTTTTAAAGTTTCCCATGTATAGATATTCTGCCTGTACGCCTTGTGGCCTTGGAGGCCAGAAAAGGGCATCTGGTCCCCCGGAACTGAAGTTACAGGAGGATGTGAGCCATCAGGAGGGTGCTAAGAATTGAACCTGGGTCCTCTGGAAGAGCAGCCAGTGCTCTTAATGGCTGAGCCATCTCTCCAGAGTGGTTTATGATGAATTTTAGTAGGCTTTATTTTAACTAACTTCAGAAAAGTAGAAAAGGAGTAAAAAGTGCCATATGCTATATTATAAAGTCCCAGATTAATACTGCTGGGAAATTAATACTGCTGATTATTATTTGTATGCACACAGATCATGTCACAAACCCATTTCTCAGGGTCATAACTAAAAGTTTGGGAAATACTACCCAAATAACCCCCATTAAAGAGATTAGTCTAATTTACATATACTTAAAAGTCAAAAGAGCAATTTCAAAATCTTGGGGGAAAATGTAACAAATTATCAATCAACCCTGTTTTCAGTCTCTGAAATGAAAAATGCCCAAACTGTTTCATAACTATTTTATGTATATGCCATGTGTATGCTGGTAAGTGGAGGTCACAGTAATGGATACCCTGGAACAGGAGTTATAGGCAGAAAGTGCTGTTAACCACTGAGCTCTCTCCAGTCCCCTAAATATTTCTTTCATGAAATTATCCATAATTAAGAAAAGAGTCATATCTAGAAATGACTATCCAGAAAGCATGGGCAGCTACCACCGTAAGATAGAAAACTCAATCAAACAATGAACATCACAGAATGAGTACTAACTGGAACAAACTATCCCATCAATGATAGCAGACACAAGTGAAAGAAAAAAATATAAAATGTAAAGAAAGGATAAAAGCTTAATCAATTTCAGTTTTACATAGCCACAGAATAAACAAATCATCTGACGAATGGATGAAAATAAGAAGTTAGCAAGTTAGCAGCTAAGATGTCAAAATCAACAACTCTACTTACCATAGTACAAACAAGCTAAACTACTAAATAATAGAGTACTCAGAACAAATGTTAACAGTAAAAGATCTTCAAATAAAACACCTGAAAAACCTCAAGATATAGGAGAATAATAGAACAGAAAACATACCCTATTTTGGGATAGAAGATTTAGTACTATCAAGGTATTAATTCTTCCAAATTAATCTGTAAATTGATTTTTATCTCAATGAACAATACCAACAAGACATTTTGGGAATCAAGACAAACTCATTATAAACTTAGTACAGAAAAATGAATATGCAAGAATACCCAGGGGGGTTCTGAAAAAGAGCAAAGGTGACAACAACGAGGCTGACAATACAGAAACATTTTCAACAGCCGAGCTTGGCAATGGCATGTGATTAGACAAATGGGCCAATCACACACTGAACCAAAGGTGTGAGATTCAAATACAATAATACAAGACACAAATGCTGAAAGTCTGTCATAATATAATGACAAAAGATTAGTGTTCACCTGAGGAAAAAACATAACTCAGAATGTTAGTGTACAAAGAACATTTCAGAAATCAATTTTGGAAAAAAATCTAATAGTCTAATGGGGAAAGAGGTTAAGAATATGAACAGACATTCAAAATGAAAGAAAATACAATTTGTAATACATGACAAGATGTTAAACTTTATAATTTAAAAGTGCAAACTAAAATAAAATATACAATTTCTCAACCTTTAAGATGTATAAAGACCATACAAACAATATTGATAACAAACAATGCTGCTGACAAGAAGAAGAGAAGCAAAATTCTGTTTTTTCTTTTAAAATCTGGACCACTCCATGAAGTTGTGTGTCATCCTTGCATAACTATCATGCTAGTCTTCACTATAGCGTTCAAATTTTAGTATATAATCTGTCAGAGCAAGCACGCTCATGTTTCTCCTATTTTTTGCTTATTGTTTGTTTTGTTTTGGAGGTTTTACTTTTGTTTTTCAAGACAGGGTTTCTCTGTGTAGCTTTTGAGCCTGTCCTGGAACTGGCTCTGGAGACCAGGCTGGCCTCAAACTCACAGAGATTCGCCTGCCTCTGCCTCCCGAGTGCTGGGACTAAAGGCGTGTGCCACCCAGAGGCCATCTCACACTCATGTTTTTTAAGAGAGCAATAATTGGTAAAAGGCTCTAAAATTTCTAATATCACAAAATAAAAATGTATATACCCTTTGATCCAAACCATTACTTTACACAATTACCCTAAAAAAAAAGACTCTTAACTGGGGACAAAGATGAAAATATAAGAATAGAAACTACAATCAAAGTCACAGACACAAAACCCTATAAATAATCTAATCTAACCATTTATTAGTCAAGGCCTGGTTGATAATATGATACAGCCACACGATGAAATTAAAATTATAGAACTGGAGCACTTACATGAACTCACATGGAATATTTCCAAGATAATATATTGAAATACTAAGAGAAAACAAAAGGGTGGAAAGGTGTATGTAGTATGTTCGTCTGCATGTAAACCAGCACTGGGTCGAATATGTACTCACAGAGTATCTTGGGAATGATCTTAAACCACTACACTGTAGGGCTTCTTTCTATTCTATTAAAACTTATGTTTATTTCTTAAAATACAAGTTAATACTACCTTCAAAAGAGAGTAATAGAATTACATACCTCAAAGGTATCAATCACTCATACTGTGTTTTCCTTAAATTTATTCACAATGGATTTAGCTAAATTTTAAAACTACATATAGAAAATGACACTATGATTCCGGGCATCTTAAGAGAAAAACAGCCATATCAGCTTACATTCAACTGTGCAACTGTCCACACAGGCAGCAGACATGGAATTCCATACTCAGAGGGCTGAGACAGAATGACTGTACAGGAGGCCAGCTTGGACTACGTAATCAGATCATGTCAACACCAAAACATTTTAAATGTTTTAAATTTAAAAATAAACACATAAATAATATGAAAAAATCTCTGGTATTCACCATTTCTCATTTCTGACATGAAAAACCAGTCAACACCAGTCCAACCTAAATACTATACAAGTTCAAAGGTCAGAGACTAAGCCCACTGACCTGTGTAGCAAATTACTCATCTTGTCTGCATGTCTCACTATTATCTATAAAACAGAGAAGACAACAGAACCTACCTCAGAAGTGTTCAAAGTATTAAATGGAGTAACACGTGCAAAGAACTTAGCACAGTGCCTGACACATAGTTAAGCAAAAACAAACATCAATTACTATTAAAGAATCACCAGGGTCATGCTCATCAAACCACCACTAGCACTACTGCTAAGTGGCCTTCTACTAAGGCCACAGCCAGTCTCCAGTGAGCACTCACTCAGGCCTCTCCCTCCCATCTGGCAGTTCATTTCTAACACAAAACACAGTATTCTTCTGAATGCAGTCTTCAATAGCCACATAAGCAGTTTTCAGAACTGGACAGATGCTTAATGGAGGAAAAAAAAAAATCTTCATCTATTTTAAATGCTCTAATGTGGCTTTTAAAAAAGAAGTTTATAATACGTGTCCAGCACTGAAAACTCTATTAAAAAAAGCATCCCTTCCTTTGCAGTGATAACCAAGCCCACAAAGGGAACAATGCAGAACCAGGCAAGCAGGACTTACCTAGGGGGTGGTCAGCGTAGTCTGGCCTCTGAATGTAACTGGGCACTGGCCGTGTGGGCATCTGAAAACAGTAAGGAGATCAGTTCAACATCTATTAACCAGTAATAAAGACAAGCCCGGGAAGAAAGCTGAAGTGTGAAGTCCAAGACACCGCTTTTCGTAAGTTAATCTTAGTTGACATGTTAATATTTTAAGATTCCCATTTCAGTCACTAAGGCTAAGCTTACTTTCCTCTGTGTGGTGCCACATCCATGTTTGAGAAAGGAGGAGAGCAGCTAAAGGTACCCGTGCGTGCAGATTGGATGTGAAATGGAGTGAGGCATTAGATAAGAGAGCAAGCTGTGGCCGAGTCTGACCAAAGACACTATACTCATGCATGAAAGTCCCTTCAGGAAGGGGCTGCAGTGGTTCTTAAGCCACTGTCATTAGGTGATAATGTGTCACATTAAAAATTCATAGAATAGTAGTATCATACACTACTCTCTCATGACAGCCATAAGAATATTTATCCCAACAGGTGGTGGTGGCGCACACCTTTAATCCCAGCATTTGGGAGGCAGAGTCAGATCTCTTTGAGTTCAAGGACAGCCTAGTCCTTAGAGAGTTCCAAGACAGCTAGAGCTACACAGGGAAAACCCTGTCTGTCTTGAAAAAGAGGGAGAGAAGGAGGAAGGGAGAGAGGGAGGGAGGAGGGAGGGAAGAAGGAAGGAAGGAAGGAAGGAAGGAAGGAAGGAAAGAAGGAAGGAAGGAAGGAAAGAAGGAAGGAAGGAAGGAAAGAAGGAAGGAAGGAAGGTTGGTTCATCCCATTCTTCTTTAAAGTATATGAAAGTTTAGTCTTTTTTTTTTTTTTTTTGGGTTCTTTGAGACATGGTGTGTCTGGGTAGCTTTGGAGCCTATCCTGGCACTCGCTCTGGAGACCAGGCTGGCCTCGAACTCACAGAGATCCACCTACCTCTGCCTCCCAAGTGCTGGCATTAAAGGCGTGTGCCACCAACACCCGGTGAAGTTTTAGTGTTTATATCTGAAATCTGCTCCACTTCCCCAACTGGCCTTGTCCTACTAGTTCCTAAATAATATCCCCCAAGATCTAAAATGTCTGCTGCTCCTTTCTGAAGGCAACCCTGCTCATCAGTCATTACTGAGCACTGCTTTGAGACAATGTTACATTCTGATTACAAACTCACCAGTGGATAGTGTGGTCTCAGTTTACCCGTGTACCGGTACCCTGCCCACGGGTCAGTGTTCACATCACCTTCTACAGTCCAGGAACATACTTCTCGTTTTGCCTTTTCATCTTCTGGGAGAGAGAGATGGACAAATGTGAAAGGGAGGAGAGAAGAAAGAGATGCTTCAGTCATCAGGCTACTGAGCAGTATACTTTCTCTCTTAGCTAACTACAGAACGAAGAGCCCAGGCACAAAACTCCAACCTAACCTGACAAAGCAGCTGCCTTACTGCTCTGCTCACAAACCTTCCGACCCTCTCAATCTCAGTGCCTGGGGCTATACTCAATCTCAAACAGAAGAACAGCAGCCAATGGTAAACATATGCTCTCTACAATGTCAATTCATACAAACTTTAAAATATCAAATATGATATATCAAACCTTCCCATCTGAATTCAGACTTCACAGCTGAATTCTATGCTCTTATTTAAAAGTAGTAATCTTATATCACCCCACAGCAAACTTACATAACAATAATTTTTCAATGTTTTTTTAACACACACACCCCCCCAAAGATTTATTTTTACATGCACTGGTGTTTTGCCTACACGAATGTCTGTGTTAGGGTACCATATCCCCTGGAACTGGAATTACAGACAGTTAGCTGAGCTGCCAGGTAGGTGCTGGGGATTGAACCTGGGTCTTCTAGAAGAGCAGTCACTGCTCTTAACCACTGAGCTATCTCCCCAGTTCCCCGATACAAAACTATTTCTGAACCCGAAACACAAATGGACTCCATTCACTGTCACTGGATTCAAGTATGATTGAAAAAGTTTCAAAATGACAACTGATGCTTGCTTCAAGTAAGGCCAGCATGTTTGTCTTAAACAGGATAAGAGCAATCAAGATTGAGGTTTTGTTGGCAGTGGGAGACTACGGTAGGACAATCATTAAGTTCAGGTCATACAGAGAGCTGCATCGTAGACTCCAGGGCTGTCCAGATGGCTCAGTGAATCAAGGAGGCAACCATATCCCCCCAAAACTCTTGACTTCCTTCCACACTTGTAGCATGTATTCACGCATATGTATGTACAAACACACATAAAATGGTAAATGCAAATTAAAGAACCATTTAGATTCTGTCTCAAAACAAATTCAAAAAGGCTTTGCTTTACCATACTCCTAGGGAGTAAGGAAGGAAAAGGAAAGGAAAAGGAAAAGGAAAAGGAAAGGAAAGGAAAGGAAGCCTTTCAAATCTCCCTGCTGATCAGCACCCCTGCCCTTCTACAAACTATTTTCAAAGGAGAACTGAAAGCAGACCTCAAACAAACACACCAAAGCTACCAGGACACACAAGGCTGAAACACAGCAAGTTCTTGTCTAATCTCTACACAAAACTCACTAGAAATTTACACCTGAAAATTTAAGTAAGCTAACATTCCAGGATCCACTTAATCCAAGTCCCAAATGCTAGACAAGTGCTAGATTTCTAATAACCCTGAGATGAACTGAGGCTGGCACCAAAACTTTTTAAACAACTGTAAAAAGCAAAGGACATTGTACGTTCTTTTTCCAAAACCACAGTGCAATAGGTCCAGATAAGATACAGGCAGTGAGTGAGCCCAAGAGCATCAGACTTCATGCCATAACTGTAAAAAGCAAAGGACATTGTACGTTCTTTTTCCAAAACCACAGTGGAGGTCCAGATAAGATACAGGCAGTGAATGAGCCCAAGAGCATCAGACTTCATGCCACTGAAGTAAGACCCAAAATACACGACCTCCAAGCTGCTCTTCCTTTATGGTTGGTAAATTTTCACCTACATTATT